TGTTCCAAGATTCGATGAAAGGATGATTACAAGGATTATCCAGACGGTTACGACCGCAGTGCTGATATCATTAGCTGAAGCAAGAAGATTCGGTGAAGAAGGAGAACAAGGACTGGGAAGAGCAAGTGTAGTTTGCATACTGTTGTGCATGTTCATATCAGCGATTATGCATAAAGTCGCAAGCGCAGCCGTTTTGCTCAAGAAGGAAGTCCTGAAAGAAGAAGAAAAAGAAGAAGATAGGACAAGAGCAATGGCAGATGACGACGCAGTCAAGTATATGATCAGGGAGTGCAGCAGAAGCATCGAGGCTACCACTTACCTCGAAAAAGTGCTCAAAAGAGACCAGGCACAAAGGCCAAGCACTGATGACCTCTGGAAGGAGGTAGAAGCGATGAATCAACAGTACGAAGTCAGATCTACTGAAAAGAAGAAGGAAGAGCAGCCAGAGCAGCCTGAAGACTCGAAAAAGGAGGAAAGTGAAGCAGCATCGGATCCAGAGTCCGATGAATCCAAAGAAAGCGAGTCAGCAGAGAAGGATGAAGAAGAAGAAGTGCCAGAAGACAAGAAGGAAGAAGATTTGGAGACGTTCAAGAAAACTGCAGAAGAATTGGCAGAAGAAGCAGAAAGGTTGAAGAAGTCTCAAGAGGTTAACTTCGCAGCGTTGAAGCAAGGAACTGTTCGGATACCAGAACACGTCCAGGAAAGGATAAGAGAGCAAGGAGAGATCATGGATGAGAAGCTGCAGCAGCTGGAAGAGATGAAAGCAGCAGCCAAGGAAAGAAGAGCAGAAGTTAAAGCAGAAGCGGACACCGTTGTGGAGAAGATAGAAGAAGAAGAGGCTCGAGAAAAGGAGCAGCCAGCAGAAGAAGAAAAGGAGAATCCAAAAGCAAAGGAGAAGCAAGAAGAAGAAGAGAAGCAAGAAGAAGAGAAGAAAGAGGATGAACTACCGACACAAGAGAAAGAAGAAAAGAAAGATGCCGAAGAATCGATAGTTCAATCGTCTGACGAGGAAGCCCGTGAGGCAAAGGAAGCCCTCAGAAGTGGATTCAACGTAGACACAATGTCTATATTCCCAACAGTCATGGGACAGTTGAATATCGAAAGCATTCGGCGATCAATGCCAACAACGGTTCTAGAAAAAGAATTCTTGACGTGGCAAGAGCAGATGAGACGCCCCGTTTCAAGACTTCCATCGGGGTACGGTTTAAGGACCGCAGAGTTTTTAGAAAAAGTGGAAGACAACATGCAAGAATATATATGGAAAGCATGTCGACGCTCACCGAAGACGAGCGCAGAGCTGAAGAAGCTTACAAGCAAGCCAGAGAAGAAATGGACCGATATGAGCAAGAACTCAAGCAGGAGATGAAAGAAAAGCTCGAGGCTAAGATGAAGAAAGTGCGAGAACTCGAAGAAGATGCAGTCGCAGCAAGAGGAGATGTTGAGAAGACAAACAACGTGAGACGTGCTCTACAGCAGCTAGGAGAAGTCGTGCAGACGGCAGAAAAGCTACTGTCAACTCTAAGCGAAGAGTTCACAAGCCTAGATCTGTACACAAGACCAAAGCCAGATGAAGAGAAGGAGCGACAAGCCCTAGCAAAGCTTATGACGATGATCAAGAAGAAAAGCGAAGGAAGCAACCCGTCAACACCGGCAGCAAAGATAAAGGCAATGCCAAAGAAAGTGCCAAGCGTTCTCAAAGGAGGACCGACGATTTCTGAAGAAGAGAGAAAGGCAGCGAATTCCAAGGAGAAGCAGATAGCATTGAAGCAAAAGTTGAGAGATCAGTTCAAGGAGGCGACAGACGACTCGATTGAAAAAGCAGCAAGGGCAAAAGTTGATCATGCCAAGGATAAGCCAAGTGAGCCAGAAGGGACACCACCAAAAAGGCAGGTGAATCCGTATTGGCTCAAGGACCAAAAGGAAGAGTCATTCAAGAAGACCAAATACTTACACTGTTATTACTGCAAGCAATCAGATCAACACAAAGCGCCTGACTGTCCCTTGATGGAGGACGCGATCAAGATGTATTACAAGGGCGAAAGGCCAGATCGCTCAAACAACGAAAGACGCATTTTCTGCAAGGTATGCTATCTCTACTTCCAGAAGGTGACCGGAAGGTCATTCAGATATACCGGCTGGGGTACCCATACCCCAGACATCTGCAATTACAAGGACAGCGTAAGGACCTACCTGGAAGACAATGCATACAAGTATGAGAAGGAGTTGAAAGACTTCCAAGAGACATTGGGCATAGGATACACGCCAAAAGACAGTTGGGGAGCAGAACCCAAGAAGCCCAAGAAAAGTGATGAAGCAAAGGCTGAAGAAAAGACTGTGAAGAAAGCAGAAGAGAAAGAGCCAAAGAAGAAGAAGCCAGCGGAAAAGTCCAAGAGCAAGGACAAGGACAAAGAGAAGAAAGCTGAAAAGGCCGAGAAAACCAAGAAGGATGAAAAGGTTGAAAAGGAGAAGAAGCGTAAGAGCGAATCTCCGTTCGATCAAGCAAGAGCTGAGAAGCGCCAGAAAGGAGAGCAAGAGCTGGAGTAAGCCGCACCGTGAAGGAGCGCAACGGCGACATGTAAGATCGGTTTAAAGAAGCAAAAGAGAGTGAGGGCGTTTACAAAAATGCCCAGCAACAGCAAGGAAGTGAGGCTGAAAGCAGCGAGGCAAGAAAGTGAGGCTGAAAGCAGCCAGGGCAAAACGTTTCACAAAAGCTTTGGAGAAACTACGAAAAGCCACGAGGATGGAAAGATCCCACGGCAACGACAAAGTCAAAAGCCACGTGGACGAAAGTCCCACGGCAACGTCAAAGCACTACGAGCACCACGATGAATTCAAAAGGCCAATGTTTACAAAAGGACTAAAGACAGAAGTCCGACAAAAGTTTCCAGATTGCCGAAGGGCAAGGATGGACTACGACTATCTCGCGTACAGCGACGTACAGAAAAAGTGAGTATGCACGTAGAGTGGAGTGAGTCCATGCCAAATGTGTGTGGAAAGCAAATTCGCAAATCTGCTATAGGACATCTGAAGATTGAGGATGAAGACCAAAAGAAGGAAAAGAAAGATGTCCAAAAGTGCTCAAAGAAGCGTGCGAGAAGAGAAGATAAAGGCTCACAGGAGCATGCGAAAACAGAAGTAGAAGTAGTACAAAGATAAGGAAAGTTTCACAAGATCGTATTACACGACAAAGCTGTGTATACGATGAGGGCGTAACAGAATGTTCAATTTTCCCTCAAGCCCAATTTACCGCCAGTTTCACTGCGTATCTCCGTAGGTCAAACGTAGGCTCAAGACAGCCTGACAGCAGAGCGAGTAGTGAGAAAAGAATCCGAAGCTCGCGCCGTGTTGTAACAAGGATAATGGTTTAAGGGTTTAAACTTTCAGCAAAGCTACCCTGGAACACCGGTGAGTTGGCAGTTGTCACGTTTTGTGATGCCTCTTTCGCAGCTGAAGCGAACCACAAGTCGCAGCGAGGTCGCTTTCACTACCTCACTTCCGCACAGTCGGCGGTGGACAAAAGTGCATCAGTGCATGAAATGCACCTTATTTCGTTTTCCTCATCCACCATGAAACGGGTCTGTCGTGCCACACTGCAGTGCGAGGCTTACTCGTTACAGCATGCCATAGAGCATGGTGACCGCATACGCGCGGCCGTGCTCGAAGTGCTTGGCAAGTTACACCGGTCACAGAACTGGGAAGAGATCGCGAAAAGATCGATGTTTCATTTGCAATACACTGATTGCCGATCTTTGTCAGACCATCTGACGGCATCGATCCCAAAGACGTGCGATGACAAACGTCTCGCAATCGAGATGACAGGAATGCGTCAAGGACTATGGGAAGAAGACGAACCGACGCACAGCTTCCTACTCACCTTCAGGTTGCCGATTGCTTAACGAAGAGCATGAAGCCACTGTTGTTGAACCAGAGCATTGACAGAAATGCGGTGCAAGTGCTCGATGAACCCGCTCCTGCCACGCAGAGCGCGCCTGTTGCCACAACAGAGAGCACGGAAGACGCGCCGCCAGAGAGCTGAGGCTTGACCTTGAGTCTGGAGCTGCTTGCTCGATTCGGTCGCCGAAGCCAGCTCCCGGCATAGCCCGGTGAAGTAGGAACGGCCCAAAGTGGTCTAATTCGAGCATGATTCGGACGTCACACTGTAGATAAGACGGGTGAGAAATTTACCTGACTTTTGCGGCCGTGTTGACAGTCCTCATGCGACAGTAGCTTTTCATGTCCACTTTTGAACGCTTCTGTACTGAAGACGTCTTGGGCTCAGTCGAAAAATAGGCATCGCTTGTGTGGTTGGACACTCACGAACCAAGTTCCTGCTTTTAACCCCTTGTTTTGTGTTGGCCCTCTTGCACCCATGCCACCACCACAACAGGCGATGTACCCACACATTCAAACGCACCCACTCCATGCCCTCCCACATTCAATATTTCCCGCGTTGTCCGCCTGCCACTTCATCATACACCCTCCCTATACACCTCGCGCACCACACCCAGCTATCGCTTCCACACACACCACAAAAGCGTGCCGCGGATCCCGTCAAGGCACAACCCGTAGTTGTTTTGGTCAATTGCACATCCTATCGCGACCGCATGCAATAGGCTTGAGCCAATAAATGATAAGTGTCTGGTTGCTGACTGCTTCGCGACCGCATACAGTTGGCCTTTGCCGGCACTGTTTTCTTGTCCCAATTCAATTTAGCTGGCTTTGGGCACTGCTCACGCTATCATGCCTTGTGGCATTGCAAAGCGAAGCAGTTGTCGCCAATCGCCAATGTGACGCTCGGCGGCCCAGTTGCAAACTGTAAGTAGCCCGGGCCTGAGTTTGGCGGAGACTGGGTAGTCAACCATTATCAACCATAATTTCATCCACCAATGTGCTTCAACATAGCTCCAACGGTGGTTGACCTACCAGCATATGCTCGTTGGTCAGTTCCATGCTGGCTGCTGAGGTTCGAGTTTTACGTCTATTTCTGGACGGTGCGCACCATGCCCAGCTATGATCTTCTGGTGCAGAACCACAATACGTGCCTGCTGGATATCTGGTCTGGCGAGTGCACGCAGAAGAACCTCGCCATTTTCGAAGAGTTTCCGTCTGAACAGGGCCCGGCACCGGATGGCTTCATGCTGGATTTTCTCGGAAACTTGGCAGCATTTGCTGTTACTGTAGCTGCCTTGTGATCATCAGGCGCGCGCGAGCGTAACTTTGAGTACGTGCATGGAAATCACGGCCGCCGAGGCATATCGATGCCGATGCCTCCTGTCGCCGCCGATGGCATCCCCGATTCAGTAATTGCTCCAGGGAGGACGTTTCTGTGGGAATACTTGAAGATACCCGGTGAAGTTCAGTGCTTTCCTTAGGGCTCGGTCAGGAAAAAGGATTCCTCAAGCTGGCAGCCGGACACGGCACTCGCTCACTTGACATCTGTAGAAAATATTTCGAGAACTGTTTTAATTTGGAGTAATTCCTGCTCCCTCCGCAGGGGCAGCTACAGGGCTCCAAGCTGGAAAACCGTGCTTGGGGACACAAAACCCGGCTCACTCTCGTAGCTCAGGAAGCCTGCTAAATCCCAGATCCTCCTAGTTCTCAAGTTCGCGATGCTGTAAGCTAAGTCTTGACTTGACATCGCTGTCGTTAAGATTCACGGTGTCGTTTCAGGTTGCATGCACGGGGTTGAACTTCTGGAGTCGAGACTTTCTGAGCTGCAACGGCGAGAGGAGAGGCAACGAATAGGGCTTTTTGCCGGATTTCATTGTCTCCAAGCGCGTACGAGCATGTGAAAGTCTTCTGTGATATGGAGGACAATTTATTATGAAGACATTTTCACGGCACAGCGAGTTTGCGAGCTTAAGTTCCCTGACTGATCCGACGGCCTGCCACGGCCTTATCACAAACGGGCCTGGGATCCTCAGCCTCATCGGGAAGCCTACTTCCGAATCCTGAAACCTCAACCTTATATCGCCAGGCTCCAAATCAGAGCTCTAGGGGCAGCTCAGGAGAGGATTGCCAGTTCCAAGGGGCTGGCCAGTGCTGGATGAAGAATACCTAGAGCCAAGGCTTAGCAGAGTTAAGGCTTGGGTTGAGACTTTGTGGTTCAATGTTCAGGGCTGCAGAGCCTGGGCTGGTTAGCATTCAGGTTTCGATTGTTTTGCAGCATCCGTGCGCCCGTCAGGTTGGTTGAAAGCTGCTTGCCTTGTAGACCTTCGAAAACAACAACTCGCTGCACTCTTGGGGTGGGGGCTGGGGAAAGTTAGACTGAGTGTGGCAACCTCCGACCATCCCGCCGCCGTGCAACTGTTGACACGAGTCATCGCGGTATGTCTGGCTAAAGGCGAACAGAGCGCGAAACTCCCTGAGATGCGGACCTGCCGGGTGGCGGGGCTCATCTGCCTCACTGTTGTGCTTGGCGTGCAGTTGGCTGTCATAAAAGATAGTCGAAGATTTGTCTGGCTGTCCCTTATCTTGTGTAGCTCGGGCAACCACTTCTGCAAAGTTTGTGGGGGGGGGGGGCACCATGTCTGCCAACTGTGCTCAACCTCTGCAAGCTCGATATCCTGAGTTTTTGTCCATCAGGAATGGGCAGATGGCCTCTCTGCGGCGCTTGATGCAGCAAGGACGCCTGCGCTCGAAGAATCGACGAAATAGACGGTCCTTCAGACCTGCTCCATGTTATGTAATGTTGATAAGACTGCACGCCATTTCGTGATCTGAGCATGCAACCGTGATGTGAAGGAATCCTCCGCGGAATCTGTGTGGATCGGTGTACAGCATGGGAACCCTGCAAGTCCTGGAAATGGAGCTCGAGTTCGTGCACTTGAACTTGTGTTGCCTTGTTACGTTCTATGTGGCTTTGTGTCGCCCATACTTGCAAACCATTTATTGTGCAGAAGCATGCTGGCCACAGCAAGGATCGGAATTCGTGGTTCGGCTTTTGGTATAATTTACACTGAAAAAGAGCCTTCAGATCATCTATAACCTGTTTCGTATTTGTACTGATTCATCCATATACTCTCGCATTACCCCACACAAGACATTGTGATACCACATCCTTGATCTCTCTTTGCCTTTGCCGTTGGCAAGTATCATGGGCATCGTGGCCGAGAAATGTCGATAATGGTTCAGTCACAACCCATCGTAGCCTCAGCCGCGAAATGCTATGATGTGAAGCACCCCGCAAACTTGTACACAATTTAGTCGCACACACAGCTGTGGTCCTCAACCCCCAAGGCCAGAAACTGCCATCGACCCTCGAAATCGTAACTTTCATCGGCAACTTGGTTCCCGGCGCTGTCAGTATGATTACGACAGTCTGGGCGTCAGGCGATGTGGTACAGTCATGTACAGTCCTTGCGTACAGGAGTGGCCGCGGCCTCCGCGTTGCCGAGCTCGGGAGCGGAATACACGGAATCTGGGCCATGCGTGCCTTGTCTTGGGAGTCACTGGGAGCGGAGGGTTTATAGTGTCTCATGTCACATCTTCTTCGAGGCACCGGCATCTTCGTTGTGGATTGACTTCTCATCGCAGGTCCTGTTTTGGTATGCAAACCGCTGTGTGGTTGTTTGTGTTCGGGTGGCTTGTATGCGCTTGTGCCAGTCAGGATAGCCTCTCCAAAGCCGCAGACTTTATAGAGCCTCCTTCAGCTGCTCAGGTGCTACGAAAGCTTTCTCCAAGTTCGCCTCGCCCAACTTGCCTTGCGAACTGCTTCTGGTTGAGCCAAAGCTCGCGGGAGCCTGTGGCTTTCGAATTTCAGCTCTGGAATGCTTGCTTGTGTGCATGCATACATACTTCACTTCACTTCACTTCCTCGCTGCAAAGTCTGTCTCTGCGAACGAAAATGAGAGGACAGGACTCGGTTGGCCCCGGCATGAAGCTGCATAGCATCCCCTGAGGTAGAGAAAGAGCAAGAGCTTCCGGTGCGAACACCCAAAGCAAAGCTCTTCACGCGGGCTCGTCTGCTCGTTTGTAAAAGAACAAATACGAATTGGTGTAAACACTGTTCAACTCAGCTTCAGAGCAAGGCCTCGCACGTTGGCCATCATCGGCCATCAAAAACTTGTCACTGCGCTCATCAAGCAAGATTGCCTGATAGTGCCCCGTGTCTGGAGTGTTTCCCAAGTGTATAACAATAGAACAAGGCGTATACTCCACACCGCGAACCACCATATCACCACTGAACACTGGGAAACGAAGAGAGCGACCTGGGACCACATGGAATCCCCACTTGTGTACTCTACGACCTTGTTCGTCAGTTTTGAAACGGCCGATCTGTAAAGCTAAAGCCCCCGGTGAAAACGTTGCCGCTTGCAGCCCCTCTTGTTGTGACCAGAAGTCCACAAGGCACTGAACAGAAGTCCTATCATGAACCCCACTCGTGAGGGCCGCTAAGGGGCTGAGCCCAAGCGGCATGGAACATCCTGCTTCCAGGACTTGAAACCCCTCCAGGGTCTGTGCCCTGGCTTCCCAGGCAATGCCAATGTTCTGGAGTAGGGCAGGGCATCGCTCACCCATGACAAGTAACAACTCAGCAACATCATGCTGCCTATCGGGAGCCTGCCAATTCCTGAACATGGACCGCCAAAATGGGTTATCCCATACGGTAACAGCTCTGCCATCAGCGAGAAACCCCTCCATGATGTTGCAAAGTTGTGCCGGAATGACACTACCACGACACCCTCGAGCATCCAGGAACAGGAGGCCTTTGAGCAGGGCATTCGTGTAGCAGTGATTTCCCCGATTGTTGAAGCGCGAGTTCAAGACCTGATCTATGCGTCCTGGTGCCCACCTCGTCCGCCACGACTGCGCCCTTTCGTCTGCATCTGTGCAACCTTGTGGGCCAGGGGGCTCCGTTGCAGGCGAGAGTGCCTCGCGTAGGCCCCGCTCACTACCCACACCGAGGAGTGAGCAAGAAGGTTCATGTGCTGCCACATCAGACCGGCCTCCTTGGTCCGTAGTCCCACGTCCAGCATGAAGGAAAGGGTGGGCGAGGCATAGGTCTCCGCCATGTCCCGCGTGGCATGAAAACGATTCACCGCCCTGGGCGACTGACACAGCACAATCATCTCCGTCAGGGCTTCCTTGATCGTGTCCACTGTCACCGCCGGGAGGAGTGGGTTGAGGACATGTCGCACTTCATGGCATTCATGAGCTTCCCATCCTCGGACATCCACCCGAGCTGCTTGGCCTGGTCCTGCTTCGAGCCCGGTTCCAGAAGTTGTGTGAACCTGTTCAGGACCGTGGTGAGCAACTTCTGCATGAGGATGATGCGCATCGGTGCCTCCAGCTTTTCCGGTGTCGCCGATTTTATCGCATTCCACGCCTTGCCCGCCTCGTAGAGGATCGCCCCCAGATTCCCTGGGGTGTCGGTGCGGACAAAAATCATATATGCGGTGTCCTTGGCGTTGATCGACAGCTGATTGTCGTGGCGCAAGACCAGTGTGGTCAAGAGGTCCACACTGTTTCTCAGGCTCTGGAGCTCCGTGAGCTGGTTCTCCGACCTGTTGTCCTCCGGTTGTCGCCTGAAAGGCGGACCCCAGGAGGGTTCGGAGGTCCCGTCCTTCGCGAACTGGTTGTGGCCTTTTCCGCGGCCTCCCTGCCCTTTGGTGTCTGGCGCCTCCACTTCGATGGTCTGTCGTCCTTCTCCCTGCCCTGAAACCTCGGTGGAGTTGGGAGTTCCCACTCGTCCGCCTGATCGATGCCCTCCATCGGCTCTGACTGCCCTTCCGGAATCCGTGGGCCGCCGAACCCTAGACTGCCCTCCGGTGCAAGTGACTCGATCAGCCTGAGTTCCTTGGTGGCCTCCGAGATCTGCTTCTGAGCGAGGTTGGTCTCCGCCATGCTTGCCAAAGTGCAGGGGTTTTCCTCGGGCAATACGTGTGTATGCAAAGGCACCGCAGAACAGCCCCGCACAAGACCGTAGATGTGCGTCCCGCCTTTGGAACTCGACTCCACAGAAACGGCACGGACTGACTACCCCGGTATTGCTGGCTTTCACAAAGTCAGTGCAATCATCAATCAGCTGAGCGAGCTCCGGATGTTTGGCTTTCATGTGTCGCTTCATGTATTGTGGAGTAGCTACCCAATGAAAACACTCTGGGCAATGTTGAATGTTCTGCCTGATCGCCGGGTGGCCTGCAAGATCCAACCACGTGCACTGCTTAGCGAACTCAAGCACATCAGACCGCTCAATGAGTGCCCTGCTCATAGATGCAAGTTCAAGGCCCGGATTGTCACTCTGATAAAATGCACGAAGTCCCTCGCAGCTGCGTGAGTTTACATGGTAGTAGAAGTTGGGCCAATAATTGAATTTCTTGGAGCAGTGTCTACACCATGGTAGGCCATCCCTGGAATGTTCCATGGGTGCAATATGCGAGGACTCCTTGATCACCTCTTGTCTGTCCTTTTTCTCGAGGTCAGTCATGTGCGTAAGAAACTGGTGCCTTTTGCATGCTGCTGAAGTAGCAAATTGCTGTCCACACTGTTCGCACTCAAAGATCTCATGAACAATTTCATCGACAGGGATGAGCCTGGAGGTATGCGGGGCGGAGTCTGGGTTATTGCTACACTTGGCATCATGCACGTGTGCCCTCAGCATGTGGCGCCAGTGTTGGTGTGCCTGTCCGGGCTGAAGGGCTGGGCACAGCCACGCATCAAACTGAGCTCTGGCATTCAATGCCTTGTCGATGGCATCCACAGGATGTACTACCTGCAGTCGGGCCATGAAGCTAGCATTGGTTTCCCGTGTGAACATGCTGTAGGACTTGGCGATCGTCCTGGCCTGCTGCACCAAGAGCTGAGTCACCTGTTTAGCTTCTGCAGCGGGAAGCCCCGTACAGTCTAGCCCGTGCAAAAGGCACGGTGGTACGCACGCCTGCCATAAGCGCATCCGAAGAGGTAGAGCGACCGCCTGACATTTGAGAATAGATTTGAGCCTTGCGAATTGAGCCTTAGCCAGCCTTATTCTTTTGGCCACAGTCTCCTGCTCGAACCTGCGGTACGAGATGCAGACTCCAAGGTATGTGTGGCTGGTGGCAATTTTGATGTCCACGCTGCGAGCATTGATTCTGAAGCGCATGAACGTGCCTTTGTCCGCGGTAATGAGGTACTTCCGGAGGAGCATAGCAGCCTTGTTACCTTTATAAGATCAATGAGGATCACCGTCTTATCCACACTTACTTGAAGCTGGTGGGCTGCCAAGTGGGTCAGGACTGCCTTGATGTTGGCATATGCCTGTTCCAAAGCCGAGCCAGACCTGATGAGCCATGCAAAGTGAAGGTCGTCCGCAAATGTTGTGTTGGACGCAGCTATGTTGACCTTGCCTGGACCCTCGCCATCAAGGCGCTTGAGCACCCATCCTGAGAACATTGCCCATAACAGAGGCGACAGACCACAACCTTGTCTCAGTCCAACACGGAGGGGCAGCAAGTCGGCGCTGTGGGTGCTGTGTTGCACTCGCAAAACGGCCTGCCGATGGATTGCCATGATCAAGGAGGTGAGATCACTCGGTACCCCTGCGTCCTGAAGCATGCATTGGAGGTCTTCTCTTGGAACACAGTCATAGGCCTTACTGATGTCAAGAGATAGTTGTATCCCTCCGGCCACTGCAAGAGTCTCGCGGCCTTGGTGGTAGATGAAGGGGTTTCGTCCTTGTTGAGCCACCAGACTTCTGACCTCCGCACAATGCGAGACTACACGATCCAGAGCCTGTTGCAGGGATCGGCCACCCAGGTAGGCAAATTGTGGGATCGACTCTAGGAAGCGAGCTGCATAGGGCTGCAACCGTGCAGCCAGGATGGAGGCAGTGACCTTCGCAATCGGAGAAAGAAGGCATATCGGGCGCAGCTGAGAGGCAGATGTCATAGCTTTCCCCGGTTTGGGGAGGAGAATCAATTCACTGAGGCACCATGCTGGTGGAAGGCAGATGGGCCCCCGACGCAGCACCATTGCAAGCTGATCCGTCACATACGGTGCGAGGCGTTCCTTCAGCACCTGCCATAGAGCAGCAGGTGCAGAGGTTGAAGGCATTGCCTTTCCCGGAGAGAGTCGGCCCAGAGCAGTCGTGACCTCTTCCAGTCTGATGTTGAACGGCTCGAGGAGTCGGTCCTGCACGGTGGGCGGTGGCCCGCCATAGAATTGGGTGTAGTACGATACAATGTCCTGGAATTCTGCCTCAATCGTCTGCAGGTGCCCCTCCGGAGTTCGCAGCTGTAACCGTTTCCTGGGGGTTTTAGGGGCAAACCGCTTGGCTGCCCGAAACACATTATCTGAGTTCACAGCCTGCTCGACCAGCCGAATCTTCTTAAGTCGACCTTGTCGCCGGAGTTCCCGCTGGAGCTTTTGCAGCATGCTCGCACGCTGCCAACCTCGCAGTAGAGCTTGAAGGGGTGGCGTCTCGTGCTGAGATTGAACCTGCCTGGCCTCAGTCTGGATGAGCTCGCGGAGTTCCCAAAGTCGCATAACCATCGAGGCCGTGCTAAGCTGATTCTGCGGTTGGGGAATCGGTGTGACAGCCAGGGCCTGCCCGCTATCACCACATAGCTGTTGCCAGCCTGTCCGAAGGGTGGCATCAATGTCTGAACACCAGGGATTGACTCCCATCAGGGGGGAGACCTGTTGCCATACCTTGTGGCTGCAAAGAGGATCCTGGAGCTTGTCTTGCACCCTGCTTGGAACGATTCTCGCCAGCCTTGGGGCATTCCTCCTGGGGTGGGCCGGCATTGGCAGGGTTCCCAACACAGGGAGATGCCTGCAGCCAGATGTAGGCACAAAGGGAGGCGAACTTGGCATGGCCTTTCGCGCCTCGGCGTCTGCATGAGACGCTCTCACGATCACAAAGTCCAGCTGGGTCCCTGAAGAGGTGGGGCTCGCAGATGGAGGCAGAAAAGTACGGGCCTGTATTCCGGGCGCTCTCCATGTGTTGAGAGCCCTGCAGTCCGCTCGACGAAGAAGTGCCTGAAGAGCTTCTTGGTCCTTTTGTGGACAGCCATCACAGGGTACCGTACCTGGGCCGCACGTAGGGTGATCGGGCCGGAGGGGCGTGTTCAGGTCCCCCATCAAGACCGTACTGTGTTGTAGCGGAGTCCTTGCAAGCCACTGCTCTATCAGGTTCCAGTGCTTGGCTCGTTGCTTAAGTAGCTCCTCCACACGGCTGGTGCTGTTGAGGGTCGCCTTCCCGGGATTCCACGCGACCTGGTAGATACAAAGGATGTCTAACGGAGTCTCAAAGAGCAGGCGGACGTGTAGCAGGCGTCCCGGGGCTACAACCACATGTCGTAGGCGGTCAGCTGGCAGTAGAGTGGACCTGACAAGGCAAAGAATACCAGTCTTGTTGGGGCCACCCGAGTGAATGGTAAACCACTGCGCTTCCTGTGGGTCCGACTGGGCCGTGCAGAACTCGAAGTCCTCCTTCCAGGCCGTTTCCTGAATACAGGCAATATCAATGGGTCGCCCTTGTGCAGCCTCCTGTTTCATCCATACAAGGATTTCCTGGTAGGTGTTAGAAGAGAGACCCCCAAAACTATAGGTCATCACTCGAAGTCTGCGACCCTGCCTGGTGGGTGGTGCTTCGCGCCGGGAAGGATCAACGGCACGGGCACTACGGTGACCAAGTTCACTGAGATGCATTCGTCGGCCTTTGTACCAGGTTGTCTGATCATCTCTGGCACTGGCACGGCGAACTGCTCTATGGAAAGCTCGTTTCCTACCCCTGGGGTGATCATGTAAAGGAGGCCTAGTGTAACGGCTATCACCGCTCGACTTCGCCTCGGCATTCGTCGATGGAGCAAAGAGTGAGGCTCCAGGACCCCATTGGTGATGAGGTCCAACCCTCGCGTCTGATGCGGCACTGGTTGCTGATTGGAAAAGGACACATATCACTGCCAATCTAAGCTTGATAGCAGTCCAGGCTGAAGGCTTGCCACATCTCTGGGACTTGGGACCCAGACGGCTCTGTAGATCGGGTTCTGGTGGTCCTCTTGGATCAAGAGGAGGACCAAACCTTGCAGGCGTGGGTGTGGGAGAACGGAAAAACCAGAGTGGTAGAGTGATGGCCGGCATGCTGACAAACACGGCTTGGTTCTGAAACAGCATCACAGTGACATAACCGAGGCAGCCACCGGTCACAATCGCCAGGGCGAGAAAGTAGACAGCCTGGCTTGTGAGGGCATATAAAGAGTGGGTCACCATGGTGTATGCAGTAGCTCGGAAATTGTCAAGCATGAGCACCCCGAACAACGTGACGAAGTGCAACACTGTTGAGTGCGCCACCCTCGGTGTGCGAACGGACGTCCGGCTCAAGTACCTGGTCGCCGAAGACAATGATGGGCAAGGCTGTGTACCAGGAGGTGCAGTGAGAATTCGCCGGTGCAAGGGGGCTGTGGTTTTGCTCGACCGCGGCCACTCTGGCTCACAGCAGGCGTTACATAGCCCAAGCAAGGCCCCTATGGCGACAAGACTGCCAGCAAGATCACTGGCTCTCGGAGCCCTAAGCACAAGGAGTCCCTTACTCACTGCCCTCTCGGCGTCGCCTGAGCACACGAAGGGGGTGCAGGTCTGTGGGTACGGCACAGGTCTATCCCCCAAGAGCCTAGCACACGGTAGATGGGGCCCCAGCTTGCTGTTGGCCTTCTGCTTGGGTGACGGTGCAGCATCCGTGTTGTCGGTCTCGGTGTTGCCGGCCCTGCCCCTCCTGGTCGATAAGGTCATGGTGCTGGATGTCGGAGTACGTCGCCTGGCATCACCCGGGGTCGCCGACGTAGCTGTCGAAGCCGCCACCTCCTCGTCCTCCTCGGGGCCGCCCGTGCTGTACAGGAGTGCCCCTGGATGATCTTGTTCCCAACCAACCATGGGTCGTACCTCCACGGTGACATTAGTGAGGTTTCTCCAGGAGTACGGGAGGTGGGTCAAAATGAGGCCTTCTCGTTCTCTGCCCGCAGCCGCCAAAGCCTCACCCACAGCCAGTGAGATGCGAAGAGCCGGCGTGAGCTCGATCTCCCACCGCGACGCCTCCCCCTCATCATCCATCAGTACGCCTTCCGCAGGTCGCCGTGCCACTGCCGTCGGCATAGGAGGCGGAGGGCCTCGAGGATTTCTTGGGTCCACTGTTTCTTCAGGGAAAGCATCCTCGGCTGCATCACTTGTGGACCATACCTCAGCAGGTGCATCCTCAGCCATCAAGCTGGTTGCGATAGCCGTCCCGCAGCTACACTGTCGCAGTCTGTGAGCCTTTAGCCAGAGTGCGCACAGCTTGGTCCATGCACAGCAAACACAGTCTAGCGAGGACATTGCAAGGACTGGTCCAGCAGCTGATGCCAGATACAGTAAGGTGAGCACTGCTTGGCCCACGGCTCGAATCACGAGGGCACAGCCTATCAGGGAGCTGAGCGGCAGCACGAAGAAGCCTTGGAGCGCCTGTGTCAGAGCCAGGGAGGCTCCTAATCGTGCAGTCATCACCTGAGACCAGGCTCCATGAAGTGCTCTGCGCACCTCAGATGCATACATACATACATACATATATATATATATATGCATACATTCATGGGGAACCCCCCCCCCGTTTCCGGCTTACATAGGGTCTACTTGGAAGCTGGCATTCGGGTTTTGTTGTAGTCATATACGCTCCCCACAAAGGCCGGCTAGCTGATACCAGCGAGCTGGAGTACGTATTGGAGCAACATTCTGTTAATGTCAGGTTTGTGTCACAAGACCTGACTCGGACAGCAAGTTAACACAGACAAGTAACTGACAGCGTAATGCCAAGTAAGCAATCACGCATAAGTATACAGCAACACAATACCGCTTCTCTTCTTGTCTCGGAACAAGACTCCGCATAAATGGGCAATCGCGAACCAAGCGGTAAGCAGCAACAAGTACCCAACAACGCAAATACAGCTTCCTTTCAATACAGCTTCCTTTCTTGTTTCGGAGCAAGACCTCGAATAAGTGAGCTTTCACGAACAGAGCGGCAAGCAGCAACCAAACAGACCCCTCCATCGGCGATGGGATACGTTCTGAGTCTGCCGGTATTGTAGCGAGACTCCACTATTTCTTATATACTGAGTACAAGATGCGGACAACTTATTTCGTCAATTCTCCAGAAACGGAGTTTGGCTACGGCAACTTTCATGCACCGGGGCTAGGTCCCCCTTATCAGGCTCTAAGACAAGAACAATTCATCGAGGAGTGCGTTCATCATGCCAGGAGGCTGGTCCAAGTACGAAGCGGAGTCGTCGAGCCGAAGACCCTGGAAGCAGAATGCGAGCAGATTCGTTGCGCGGGTCGTGCAGTAAGCTAGAACTCTCTGCAGACCTTCTTTTCCAGTGAAGATAGCTTCCTGCAACTGGCATCACAGGCATCACACGTGCAGTATTCATTTGGTCCGTTAGCAACTGAACAAATGGAAGATGCTATCATGTTGGAGCAAGCTAGTCACGTGAGTTTTCGCAGCGCATCATGCACGAAATCATATGCGAATGACTAGACTTGCTTGGACCGACGACCGGGGCGAATCACTGGGCTGATGATTCTCAGCCGAAACGACGTTCGCCTGGTTGGAATGCTTCGCGGCAAACGCGGAGCCTTCGGCTGCTCTTTGAAGCATTAGCCTTGGGAGTCCTTGCTTCAAGACATGTAGGGCAGCACTTGCCGGCGTAGCACCAGCACCACCTCCGCCAGGCAGCCCGCGGCAGCATGAAGCAAACATTAGCTTTCATTGCCCTTGACGTTATCTCAGACTGATCGGCTTGCCTCTGGAGAGGCCTGTACAAAGCCTGATTGCGCGCAAACAGTTTAACAAAGTCAAACAAATCCAGTTTCATCGCGAGCGTGGATTTGTGCAAAGCCGCTTGCGGGTAGTTAGCAGACACAAGAAAGAAGCCCTGACTCAGAAAGGCACATGTCCGATGCAGCCGAGCAGCAATCGCTCGAAACCAATGATTGATCTCATGGTGAAGACTTTCATTGGACGTGGTACCGTTTGGCAACAGCGTTAGCTGACGTGGATGAACGGAGTGGCGGTGGCGAGTATCATTGAACAACCATTGGATCTTGACCGAGGAAGCGACGTTGATGATAAGTCGATGCAGAGAAGCTCCAGAAAACGTAACTTTCCTGACTTTATCGACAAATACCGAGAGGTGTCCCACGCATGCCTCCAAGAACTCGATCTCCGTGAGCCACGGTGTGTCTGGGTTTAGTCTCTCCAGAAAGGCATGCGCCTGCGAGTCTGACATGCCGTGTTTTTCCTGCAGTGACAAGACAACCGCACGGGATTTTATAAAATTGAGCGAGGCCTGGTCCCAAGTCCAGGCGCCACAATGATCAGTTTTCTCACGGTATACCTGTTGGTTCTTTGGCTTTGTGGCGGGCACGAGGGTTGTGTCCTTACCATAAGGGACAGTGGAGCAGCGCTGGATACAGCACAGGTTCAGCCTTCTTCGGTTGCAAAGCTACATGGTGTATGGACCCATGGAGACTTTGGTCTCATTCTCTCCAGGAACAAGTAACGGATCCTGAAGCGTTCATATCGAAGGGCATGCATCAGGGCTTTGACTTGTGGTGAAACGACCTATAAGGGTAGGGGTTTTCTCTGCTACGGATGTTTCAGAGGCCACTAGGTTGAAGCTGCAGCCCTCTCTGAATGCTGCAAGACCTTCGAAGAAAACTCATGGACAGTGCGATTTTCCAGATTCGAGTATTGCGAGTACGATACCTCGAACCCTCACGCTTCCACAGCAGTCGAGTGCCTCTCTAATCCGCACTCCGAAGGTGAAACCACGACTCGGGTTCATGACTTGGAATGCAGGTGGCCTTCCCTATGATGAGTTCTTTATCTGGGCTCAGCGGGCCCCTATGACATCATCATCATCATCACTGAGACGAGATATCATTTCACTTCAGAGTGGCAGGTACCAGAATGGCTTTGCTATCACACCGACAATCAGAATGCGGGGGTGATGCTCATGACTCGGTTTTGCTCAGCTGATCAAGTCACATGGCGGGACGTGGTTTCGGGCAGACTTCTACAAGCTACTATACATGGGAAACAGGTGCTGCATGTGATCGGTATCTACCAAGATGTGTGGAAGAAAACATGTCTCTCCGACTGTCTGCAGCATTGCCCCTCCAAGCGCATCACACTCGTTTTGGGCGGCAACACGGACTGTGAGGCCAGAAAACATCGCATAGGACCACCCCGCCCGAATCAGCGCCTACCGAACTTTGCACATTTTCAGGATCGTGAACTCATGGGGCAAATTCTTGATGACTTTGACATGGTGGCTTTGAACACGTGGCATGGCTGGCAACCTACATACATGTTGAGGGTGAGCATGCACACACAAGTCGCCTAATCTTTGCTTGATGCGTTGCAAACATGCTGATCAGCAGGCTAGGAACGTGGAGCAACTCGTAGAGTTTCCGGTGGCCAGTTACAGAAGGGGTTCGTGGCACATTCCCATTGCCGGCACTTTGCTGGCTCAGTGGACGCCGTGGCGACCTCAGCAGACTCACACCGATCGCTTCACCGTTCAGCAGCGCAGACAGTTGAATGATGCTTGTCGGATGCAGACTCAAACTTGGTTGGACATGAATGCTAGCATCGACGATCAGTTGCGACGTTTAACCTCACCTACAATGCAACAGATTGAGGAGATATTAGCAACTGAAGTGCGAGCATTCTTCCCCACAAGAGCACAGGCCCAGCCGGCTCGACCTTACCAAGGTCACGACCTGGCAGGCCAAACTAAGAAGATGTGGCAGCACAGACTCGAGCTCGAAGAACTGAAGGCTCGCGGACTTCAAGGAACCCCCGAATATCATCTTCTACAAGACTCTTGTCAGGCCTTGAGTCGGCTTCTCAGACTTCGATCCAAGAAGCGGCGACGGGACAAGCTCCAAACCTTTCTAGCCGAGACAGCAGAGTGTGCCATGAAGGTGGACATGCCGGGCTGGTACAAGAAGATTAACACCATCTGTCCGAGGCAAAATGGTAGGAGGGTTCATCTTCATAACAGCAAGGGTCTGCCGCTCACACGCGCAGGTTCCATGGACGCGTTGCGAAGCTTTGAGATGACCCAGCCTACGAAGTCACCTTGGCACCATTGTCTGATATACCTTTTCGAGCGGGAGCTTCCAGACTTGAGTTAGGGTCTGCGTGTCCAGCTGTGGAGCTGCAGACCTGGAGCGCTGTAGTGCCCGAAAGGGCGGCAGTGCAATGGAGGTGCCAACCGGTCGATGGGTGCCCCCTTGCTTCCAGGACCCAAGCGGCCATACAAGTGGAGCTGCACGTCTCGCTAGCGGATCGGCCTGATCCCGACGCACGTAGATGTGGTTTATCAAGGAACTTCCGGGAGGGCTCACATAACTGGCTACGGCCTGCCGACTGCCGAGTCCAGCTGTTCAGCATGAGCTGGTGATCCAACAGGAGGGCCTCGAGATGGTAGGTGTCCGCAACAGCGGGTGACGGGTAAACGCGCGCTCGGGATCCCACATGCACTCCGGAATGTACCGGTGCGGAATTGAAATCTCCTGCAAGGAAGAGCAGATTCCGGCGCGGAATGCTACGGAGTGTGCTTTGGAGAGAAGACCACACCTGCAATCGCTGCTCCTTCGGAGTAAGAGTCTGGTGCTGCTCCTTTCGGGTGGTGCCTGCCATGAAGATTTTCTGATACGCGTTGAGGCTGTCGATGGTACACTGAGGCAGGGAGATACGGGTGTGCAGGATACGATCGGGTACAGGTGCAGTGTGAGTGATTTGGGTCACTTGACAAAAGCTGGCTGCCACCAGGGTGATGAGTCCACCTGCACCAGCACTAGGGCTAGAGGTGCCACCCCGGCGTGGAAAATTCACAGTCCCCAGACCAATGGGACTCTTGTATGTGAAGAATAACGGTCCTGAGGTTGTCGGGCATCCGGGACAACCACTGCATCAACTCGTGGTCTGCATTGTAAGTGGCCACTTGTATGCGCGGGTGGGGCTCTTCCCGTGCCTGTGCAGCGTTTAAGGCGCGGTCTTGCCGCAATGGTGGCGCTTCCTGCGCCGGTGCACCTGGAGGCAGGGCCCGAGAGGAGCTGGTGCCAACGACCTCTGTACATGGTGCCTTGGAACGGACTATTCATCGCTCTGCTCGTTTGACTGGGGCAGCGGGCGCAGCCAGGGTTGGTTGCCAGCGAGCCACAAGGCATAGCTGGAAAAGAAGACCTGGTCGCAGAGGATATGTGCAGGAGAAGCGGCGCCATCAAAATGAGTCCCTTGCTTCCCCGACCGCGTTTCATGTTGTGGCCGGCATCCGACCTGACCGCTGCATGCACAACCGGGCCGAGGACACTGCGGGGGGTGTCCAACCCTCGGCTCTAATAAGGGACTCTTGGTCATATGCAGCACGGAGATAGGAAGAGTAGAGGAGACTAGCACAATGCTGCAGATGTCTTGTTCCCCTTCTCCGGACTTG